AACAGAGTGAGACTTTGTCTCAAAAAAAAAAAAAAAATTTTTGAAATCAGCAGTTCTACCTCAATAAAATTGATTTTTTAAAAATGGGCAGTGCTTAAGCTAACCTTAAACAAGTGTCATAATTAAAGAGAAGATTATAAATACACTCTTTCTCCTGGTTCATTAAGTTGCATGCAAGTGTGTAGTTAATATAAAATTAAAACATTACAACCATATCAAAAGAAATGACAGGAAAAAAAAAGGTTCACCTACAACCCTACCAGCCTGACACCACAAGTGAATAGACAGAAAATGAAACAAAGTAAATTGTTTCATTAGCAGCATTTTTCTTCTGAAGGAGAAAGGATGGGGGAGTTGGGCTCAAGGACTCAATCTTCTCCCCCAGCCCCTTTTCATCTTTCCAGGGCATTTGGGGAGTAGGGGTTAGTGTCAGTGCCGTGCATAAGATTTCTCCGCAAATTCTTGATGGTGCTTGGCAAAAACACCATGATGGTTAATTTTATGTGCCAACTTGGCTGGGGCGGAGTTCCCAGATATTTGGTCAAACATTATTCCAGGTGTTTCTGGTGAGGGTGTTTTTAGATGAGATTAACATTTAAATTGGTTGACTTTTAGTAAAGCAGATTGCACTCCATAATGTCTGGGGGGCCTTACCAATCACCTAAGGCCTGCATAGAATAAAAGGCTGACCTCTCCCAAGTAGGAAGGAATTCTGCTAGCAGACAGCTTTCACACTTGAGCTGCAATATCTGTTCTTCCCTGGAACTCCAGCCTGTTGACTCAGCTTGTTTTTGGACTTGCCAGCTTCCATCACATGAATATTCCTTAAACTCTCTCACTCTCTCTGTCTATATATATATATGCACATCCTTAGTTCTGTTTCTTTGGAGAACCCTGACGAATATAGATGTAAAGCAAGATGAACCTTACACAACAGGATAAGATTCTTCAAGCCATTTCCCTACTCTGCAGTAAACGACACACACATTCACAGACATAACTTTTTTTTGGAGACAAGGTCTTGATCTATTGCCCAGATTAGAGTGCAGTGGCATCATCATAGCTCACTCAACCTCAAACTCCTGAGCTCAAGCGATCCTCTTGCCTCAGCCTCCCAAAATGCTAGTGTTATAGGTGTGAGCTAACATGCCTGGCCAGAGACATGACTTTTAAGCTGAGACAGGAGCCTTGACTATTTCAAGGACATAGGCCGGTGGAGTGGCTGTCAGAATTTTGTACCCCTGCCCTGCTAGGAGCCAAAAGGCTGGGTTGAGTCCCCTTTCCACTGCTTACTGGCTGGAGGGCCCCAACTGACTCATTCAACTTCTCTCAGCCTTGGTTTCTTCTGAAAACCGAAAGCACTTTGTAAAAGCTGCTATATAACATCTGATACTATTTCTACTAACCATATTTCTTAAAATAATAGTAACAGCTAACATTTGAGAATTTTATATGTGCCGGGCTTTGTGCCCAGCACATATATTAATATTATCACATTTAATCTGTCCAACAACCCCATGAGTTGAATAGCAGTATGTCTCCATGTCACAAATGAAGAAACTGAGGTTTAGAGAAGTTAAGCCAGTTGCCTGGGTCACACAGATGGGATGCAGCAGAGCTAAGATCTACACCTGGGTCTTTCAGAACTAGGGAAGGTTCTCCTAATGATTAACTCCAAAACTGTGGGGAGTTATTTAACTGCTTTAAGTTATGATATTCTTGTATGTTGCATGGAATACCTATCTCCTAGGCCTGTTGTGAGAATTCAGGGAATAACATTTGGGAGTGACGTCTAGCACAGTGCATGGTATGTACTAGAATTTCTACTGTCGGCACCTGTTATGAACTGAATATGTGTGTCCTTCTAAAATTTATATATTGAAATCCTATCCTCCAATGTGATGGTATTAGGAGGTAGGGCCTTAGGGAGGTGATTGGCTCATGAATGGGATTAGTGACCTCATAAAAAGACACAAGAGCGTGTTCTCTCTCTTTGCTCTCTGCCATGTGAGGACACAGCAAGAATTCCTGGTTTCCATCTGCAAAGCAGGAATAGGGCCCTCACTAGACACCAGATCTGCTGGCACCTTGGTCTTGGACTTCCTGGCCTCCAGAACTGTGACAAATAAATTTCTGTTGTCTAAGCCACCCAGTCTATGCAGCTCGAGCTAAGGCAATACCCCACATCCCAAAACACCAGCCCCTTTGCAGAGGATAATCCAATCCCACATGCTAATAGGGGAAGCAGCCAGATTTGCTGGAAATCAATGGCCAATCTGCCATGGTTATCAAAATCTTGTTTCAAGATATATTCTTCCTGAAGAGTTAATGATTGTACAAATTTTATGTTAAGTCTTTTAACATGTTAAGTGAATATCTTATTCTTGAATATTTGTATGAGAAGTCTAAACTACTCTGTAACTTAAAGTTTTTGACAAATCAGTCTTTAAAATGCTGATGAAATATATCTCATATTTTAAAACTATAGCTATAAGATTACTGTATTAGTTTGTTAGCGCTGCTGTACCAGAGTACCATAGACTGGTGGCTTAAACAACAGAAATGTACTTTCTCACAGTCCTGGAGACCAAATTTTATGTTAAGTCTTTTAACATGTTAAGTGAATATCTTATTCTTGAATATTTGTATGAGAAGTCTAAACTACTCTGTAAAGTTTTTGACAAATCAGTCTTTAAAATGCTGATGAAATATATCTCATATTTTAAAACTATAGCTATAAGATTACTGTATTAGTTTGTTAGTGCTGCTGTACCAGAGTACCATAGACTGGTGGCTTAAACAACAGAAATGTACTTTCTCACAGTCCTGGAGACCAGAGTTTCAAGATCAAGGTGTTAGCAAGGTTGGTTTCTTCTGAGGCCTCTCCGCTAGGCTTATGGACAGCTGCCTTCAGCCTTCATCTCCAGTATGTGCTCTTCCCTCTGTGTGTATCTGTGTCCCAATCTTGTCTTCTAAGGACACCAGTCACACTGGATTAGGGCCCACCCTAATGACTGACCTCATTTTAACTTAATTACCTCTTTAAAGGCCCTATCTCGAAACACAGTCACATTCTGAGGTACTGGGGTTAGGACTTCAACATATAAAGAAGGGGGGGGGACACAATTAAGCCCATAACAAATACATATTAAGCTGCCCATAAATATATATTTATCAACTATTTTCATAATAGAAATATATTCCTATTTATCGGATATATTCAGAACCACTGACTGCACATGAAACATATATTTATATTCACGGAGTATATTTGAGAAAATATGCGCATGAATGTATTCATACAGAGAGTACTCATTGAAACAGCTTTTGATAAACTGGTTATTTTGGTAAACTTGACAAGTTGGTCTTATGGTGAATTGAGGCTTTGTTGAATTGTCTCTCTGAGAATTAACAATTGGACAAATTGATCCCGAGCTTTTGAAAAATCCATGCGAACCAAAATCAAACCGCACCTCCCTCCAAGAATATCACACTGTTCCCTGAGAGAGAGAAGCACACAAAGCCACCAGCACCTACGGAAACAGTACCAGCAATTAGTTCAAGGTTAGCCAGCAAAGGATGCTACGAGGGAAGGAGGGAGAACTTCAGAACTTGGGGAAGGCCAGTTGGGCAGAGTGTACCCCTGGGGGCCTCAAGATCCTGATACGTGGGGTGTGGGGCGGAAGATGGCCCCAGAGATAATTCCCGCTCCCCCAACCATGCACTGCTTTCTCCCCCAGTCAGGTCACATGGCCATTTCTGTGTTACAGACGCCACTTCCAAATCCCCCAGCAACGGATCCTTGGCAATTTCAGCTCCTTAGTGTTGAGGCTCAAGTCCCCTCCTTCATCATTTAACGGTGAAAACTCGAGGACATTAGTGGTGAACTCCTTTGTCTTTCGCATCTGTGTCCAAATTTAGCTACATCTCCTCCCTCCCTCCCTCCTTCCATCTTTCCCTTCTTCCTTCCCTCCATTAGTCCTGTTGAAGAGGTGACCCTCTTCTTTTCAGAATCAGTTCATCTGCCCTGCTCTGGTTCCTGTTCCTTCGCTCCAGCCTCCTCTGTACCTCACAGCGCCCTCTTCTCTTCAACCACAGCGTCCCCCTCCCCATGTGCTTCGTGAGCCTCTCGACCCTTGCTCTCTCGCCTGTTCCCACCAAACTGTGTGAGATAAGGCAGTACTCTCACATTCTCCACTCTTTGCCTCACTTTGCATTCATGTCTACTCATTTTTGTATTCCCTACGGAAGCTAGCACACACATGGCAAAGCAAAAGACAGTTGGAGTAATTAGTAAACTAGATAATCAAATATGCCTCAAGCAATAAGTGCAAGGATAGTGCAAGATGCAAAGAAGATGCTGTTCTTGTCTTCGAGGAGACAGCCGTGGAATTAGGGAGACAAGATAGAATCAAAGTCAGCAGAGCCATATCATGGACAAACAGGACAGAATCTTTAAAATGGAGGCATCTAGAGAGAGGCTCCTGGGGCTAGATAAACAACTTCCCACCCAGCCACCCCAGTGCTTATGTGACCAATAAAATCATAGCAAGGTGCAAGGACCAGCCACTGGATCACAACTGGGGATTTACACAAAATGAGTGCCCATCAGTAGCTGGGACCTCTTTGGTTGAAGATGGACAGTGTCTCTGGAAGGAGGAAGGCAACAGTGGGCAAATGGTCCAGTGCAGTGGACAGCTCAGAGGGGCATGAGTCAGCGTGGAGCGCACAGGCCTTCCTGAGCAGGAGTCACTAAGGCTGGAACCTGGTCCTGGCCTTGCCTGGCTGTGCGCCCCATTTCTTCAGCTATGAGCTGAGGGGCCATGCTCTGGGGACATGGGGTGTGCAGCAATCTCAGGGGGATCTTCCGCACCGTCTGCCCATTGTCTTTTGTAACTGTCACAGCCTCGCCCTTCCAGCAAGCCACAGAACTTCCTCTCTGAGCAATGCTGGCGGCTGAGAGGAAACATCGGTGGGTCCCTGCTGCTGAGTGCTCCCTGGAGGTTCAAGCCAGGGGGAGCCCTGTCCCACGGGCCAGGCTTCGTGAGGCCTTGGCATCCTGGAAGCCCAGGGTCCACCACCTGCCTGAGTCTCCATAACAGGGCTTCTCAAGGGCTGGGCTGCTTTAAATCAAGTCCTGGAGCTCCCACAAATCAAAGCAGCATTTACAGCCTGCCGGGGAAGACCCCCAACCCTAAATTCTTTTAGGAACAACAAAATAAGACAGTACTGAGCTGAGGAGTCCTTTCATTTGATAAGTTGTAGCAGTCAAAGGAAACACATTTGTAAACCAGATCACTCCTCCACGCTCCAGTAATAAGAGTAAGGATAAAAAGTATTTATAAAATGCTCGGCATGTCCCAGGCTCTGTCCTTTCAGGAACTGGCTCCTCTGCATGACTGTGGGCAGCTGGTACCCAGAGCACCTGCCACAGGGCCCGGCCCACTGAACGCAAATAACGAGAGATGGTGACTCCCCATCTCTGGTCATCTTCTGTGACGACAGTGAGGGGGGACGATTGATAAGATCTGGCCCAGGATCAACCAGGGGCTATGAGGAAGAAAGCCAGAGAGACCAAGGAGAGCTGATCCATCAGCTGTCTCCACTGCCTTGTGTGGGGCTCGTTCAGAGATGAAGCTGCTGTGAACAGACAGCCAGCAGGCCTGGAGAAGCGGCTGTTTATTCTTTTCAAACACAGCATGCTGGCCGAGAAGGGGGAAGACGGCATCGAGCCTGTTGCCAACCGTGAGCACCACCACCGGAACTCACGTTTCCACCCAGCTTCCAAACTGACACCAGCTCTTACATCCCTTTTTCTGTCTGAGCATCCTAAGAACTCTGTGGGTGCACAGAACAAATGTCACCACCACCGCCATCACCCCTCTCTTACGGATGAAGGAACAGACCCTCACCAAGGGACCTGCCTAAGAACTCACAACTAGTCAACAGCAGAGGTGGGAGCTCAGCCTTCACACCCTGGCTTCTATCTAGTCCAGAAAGTTTCCACCAAATTATGCTGAGGGAAATCTTCAATCAGGAGAGGGACAGGGTGACCTCTGGGCGGTCTGTGTGGTCACTCTCCTAATCACGATCAATACTTGGCATGGATTGTTTGGAAAAGTGGTAGCAAAATACCCAGAGACGAATCAGAGTGAAGGGAAATCCCTCATGGTTGGAGAAGTGTTTCTGGGGAGATCCCCAAGTTCCTGAGCAGGGGAGGCTGAAGAGGCAGAGCCCCAGGCTCTCTCTTTACAGAATCCCACTTGCCAGGGACCTCATGGAAGTATGGCGAATAATGCTTTTTGTTGTCCCTGCTGCAGAATAATAGTCATGTTTTTCAAGGCTATCTGGAAAGTTATGCATGTGCTCTGGAGACATTAGTAAGAAAAATAAAGCCATAGATTCCTCCAGCCTTTTATCAATTAATTACACACCTACTTACAGCCTTCACCCTTTCTCTCTCTCTCTCTCTCTCTCCCTCTCTCTCTCTCTCACACACACACGCCCTACTCTCTGCTCATATTTCACAGCTCTGGACAGAGATATTTATCTGAATGCAAAGCTCTGAATTGCTAAGTGGCAATATTAGCTTGGGTCTTGTGTTAGCCCTGATCATATTAAGCAAGATCACATAAGACAGCACTTCTATCAAGTCTGACAGTCCTGAGCCCATCCATATGCAACCCCAGCATTTAATCTGGTTTCCAACTGGTAATTTAATTCTCCTGCAACTGCAGCTAATCATCTGTCAATCATCAAAGCTGCCTTTAAGATCAACTTAGGACTCTCCTGTGGGATCAATAAGTGAATGGTTGTCTTATGTCTTTGAAAAGTTAGACCCTGTGAGAATCAGGGATCACTCCAGAAAGTTGGGAAATAAATTCAAGGTCTCGTTTTAGACATTTTTTTTTCTCAATCCGGTTTCAGAACGCTGTCACAGTGCAGGACCCAGGGCATCCTATACAATAAATCACAATTAATTTCTAAAGCCAATTGGAATAAATGATGTGACTATAAATTGGTTGTATTTACAGTTTCACATCTGGTGATATATAAAAAAGTTAGCCCACCTCAATCTTTTCAAATACCTTGACTGCTCTGGAGTATTACACCTAAAATCTGGTAAAATGTATATTACATCTGTAACAGCTACCCCCAGGGGTCAACTCTGCCTTCATTCCAGGGCCCCCCTCCTGATATACAATGGGAATGGGGACATCTTATTTTGAGCTTCTCCTGAGTGGGCCACCCAGTGTGGATGCCTCCCTGCCCCTTCCAACTCTGCCCTGTCTGCCTCGTGAGCTCTCCCTGCGGCTCCCAGACCCGTCCCCATCTAGAGGATGCTGCCCCCTTCTTTTGGGCCCCTTAGAGGGTGGCATATGTTTCCACACTGGCCTCTCTCTTCATTTTCTACCACCCCACTTAGATTGTGCCCAGGTGTCAGATTTCCCTGAAAGCTGGATAACTAAACGAATTACAGTAGAAGAGGAAAAAATTAAAACTTCACTCTAAACATGGGTTTCCCCATAATCCAAGAGAAAAGCAGCAAGAAAGCACCCCCAGGTTCTACACTTGCTCTGTATATCTCAAACCTCACCGCCTAAGTATCTCTCCTAATGCACGTTATAACTCTCCCTCTACTTCTCAGGCACCCCCATAACCAGGGGCCAACCCCAGAACCCACCCCCTTTCGTAAGCAATTCATTTTCTCAGCTCTTTGAGTTATTCCCTCCAAATAATGGTCCCTTGGTAGAGATGGAAAGGTGGAGGCTGAAACATTTTCTGGGTGCAAAGAGGGTGGATTTGCTTTGTTAATACATTTAAGCCAAATCACTCCCACAACAGGTTTTTGTTTCTTTACTTTTCCTTTCTGACTAGTTTTATAATGTTTACTTTTGTAGTTTGATAGGTTAAGATCTCCATAGTAATGATCAGCAACACTATTCTAGGAAGCTTCTAAATTGACTAAAATGATCTGATAGGTAATATGGACAAAATGCAAACTTAAAAAGCAGATTACTTCCTGGAAAAAGTAATGTTTGGGAACGATCTTTAGAGTAGGGTTTGATGGGCAGAAAGGTTTGAAGGCTGTACCAGGTAGGAATTGATCCACTGCAAGGGAGAGAAACCCAACCATAAACCAGCAGAACAAAGTTAACTAAGTTATATGACTTGAGTTCAAGGGGTGCAGCTGGCTTCAGCTGGCTTCAGGCATAGTTGGCTTCAGAGGCTCAAACTGAATCATCAGGACAGTGTCCTAATTTTTCTTTTTGCTTCTAGATTCTGCTTTCCTCTGTGTTGACTTTTATTCTTGGGCAGCTCAGGGCTTACTTTAACCTAGCACTAGCTACCCCTGAAAAGAAGTGCCTTTTATCCAGGAGGCGTTTGTGGGCTAGCTTGGGTCCTGAGACCCAAGTTTCTATTTAACCTGGCAGGCTATTGGAAGGTTTTCAAGCAGAATGATGAAAAGCATGGAACTCCAGTTAGGAGAGTGCTCTACCACCATTGTTTGCACAGATATTGAAGGTGGGGAGGCTATTAGAAGAGCAAAAGTTATAGGGAATGAGGCCTGACCTGAGGCCATGGCAGTAAAAATGGAAAGAGGAGGAAGATTATGAGAGAACCCAGCAGAGGGGCACTGTAGGGTACACTGATTTTATGGAGAGGCAGAAGGAATTAACGATGGTAAGAGAATGGTGATGCCATTAGCAAAACAAGGTGTGAGACAGAAGAGTATTTTTGCAGAAACTTTACTAAGAAATGGACATACTACTGGTTGGGCAAGCAAAGGAATCTATCAGGCAGTCAGCTCAGGAGGAGAGGCCAGAGCTTAACAGAGGAGTCCAAGCCAGAGGTCCAGACAGGGGGTGTCTACAATAAACTTGTAGTTGGAATCATGAAAATTCCAACTGAGATTTACGAAGGAGAGAGGTGAGCAGACAAAAGACACAGCTCTAGGGAATTGCAAGTTAGGCAACAAAAAAGGAAAAGGAACCAAGAATGATGACTGAGAAGGAGCAATTAGATGCTGGGCAGAGGGAGAAAGTCCAATAGGAGGGGAGTTCCAGTCCCAAAAGAAAAACAATTAGGCCACCACATTCAACACTCCTATTTTCAGTGTTGGTTCTGTATTTTAAATTTCATATTCTCTTCATTCCTCTTCACAAGTGAACTCACAATCAGAGGCCAATGAGCAGTCATTGAGGCTAAAACTGTACTTTCCGAGCACCAGTGAGTTCCATCCCGATCTAAGTTGTACTGAGACCTGATCTCCTTGGCATCGGTAAGAACGTGTTCTTTTTGGGGTCTTCTCTTGTTTCTCCAGAGTAAGGGCCAGGTATTGAAACAGCTGCCAAGTACTGCTGTGCAAAGACGGCACTGCCGCAGACAACTGGGCTGCAACCAGCAGGCAGCATCCCTGTGTTGACCTGGGGCCAGACGTACAACATCTGAGCTTGGCACATGAAAGCAGGTTGGCAGTCACAGCGTATGAAGTACGCAATAGGAGCTGTATGGCCATAAACATAGTTGAGAGCTGCTTGTCCCTGAATATGAGGGAGAAAACACTTCAAGATTTCACCTTTTGGGGTACTTTTCTAGTCATTTCTTGAATTTTGGTACTTGCCAGGGTTTTATCTGGGACCTTTTCTCAATCTATACATTTGAGGTGACCTGTAAGACCTCATACTTCACTATCCACTCTCTCTTCTGTCCAAAAACCTGTATATCATCCTCCCTCAGGATCCATGGGGGATTAGTTCTGGGAACCCTTGTGGATACTGAAATCCAGATGTTCAAGTCCCTGATATAAAATGGTATATAGTATTTGCATATAACCTGGACACATCCTCCCATATACTTTAAATCTCTAGATTACATATAATATCTAACACAATGTAAATGCTATGTACATTGCTGTTATACTATATTGTTTAGGAAATAATGAGAAGAATAAAAAAGTCTGCACATG